TAAACATCATCTTACAAAGGAAGAAACAACCCAAAATAAGAAACTTGATTTGATCTAAGTACATTGCTAAGAGCAAAACTAGTTAAAAAAATTTTAATTTTAACTAACAGTGAAATAAACTGTTAGCTAACAAAATGTTTCTGACAGAGATTCTGTTTAAGCAATCTCCATAAACAGGTAATGATTTTTTTGTGATTTGTCAGTTTTTGAGTATAAATTGAGATGTCATCATCTTCAGTTTCTCAAAGTATCTCTTTCCTCTTTCTCTTCTCTTTCTTCATCGTTATATGCATACAAAAAAATAAATACATGTTTAACTCCAGAGATTAACAATTTGAGAAGAACATAAAGCACCCTTATTTGACCTTTTCTATCTTCTGAATTAAAAAAAAAAATCACACACCTCGTTTACTGTTGTGTGACCTTGAAGACATGTCTCATCTGTGGCTCAGTTTCCACATGGTAAAATAAAGGGATTAGACTAGATGAGGAGGGTAAAGGAATGAACTCTAGTCCAGGAGTCAGCCAGGATCCAGTGTTTGGTGCTGTTCCACCCCTTCCTAGTTCTATAAATTTAGGGGGAAAGTTGCTTAATACCGTCTGGGACTCAGTTTCTTCATTTGCAAAATGAGGGATCTAGCCTAGATGATCTTAAACATTCCTTGCCTCCTGACCTTCTGTGCTCTCTGGCGAGGTTACCTGGTGGTGCACCTACCTTTCTAACGAGCTGGCGTAGTTGCCACTTGATTTGCCAGCAGGGGTTGTCCATACTGTCTTCATCATCGGGGTCCCCAAAACTGTCATCTTCCTTTAAGAAACAAGCAACCCCACTCCTGGAGTATTTGTCCTGCATCTGGGTTGGGATGGAATATTACACGATGTTATACACATGTGCTTTTTATATTTGTTCATCCATGAGTTAAAACAACAGAGACTGGTGACTGATTCAGAGATGTATTGGCATCTTAGATAGGTTCATGTCTTGGAAGAAAAGTAAGCATACTGTGCTTTGTCCTTTGAATAAAAAAAGCAGTTAGATATGATGGAAAGAGTACAGGTGTGGGTCAGGCACCCTGGGTCACAGTGCCCTTCTTTTGGCAAGTCTCTTCTGTTCTTCTGCGTCTGATCATCTGAGTTTTGAGCTGGTTCCCTGTGGTGACCTCTGAGGTCCCTTCCAGCTCTGACACACTGTGGATCCCCTTCTAAAGCTGAGAACCTGCCTAGATACAAGGTAGGCAGTGAAGTCATCTTAATTCCAAGATCCTAAATAAAAATTGGAGCCCTGGTGGCGTAGTGGTTAAGAGCTCAGCTGCTAATAAAAAAATTAGCAGTTCAAATCCACCAGCTGCTCCTTGGAAACTGCATGGGGCAGTTCTACTCTGTCCTATAGGGTCACTATGAGTCAGAAACAACTTGATGGCACCTAACAACAACAACAAATAAAGAATTAGGCGGATCTTTTAGAATGCAGCTACTGTTTGGGTTCTTGATCTGGTTACACAAGTGTGTTCATTTTGTAAAATGTCAGCTACCTGTACTCTTAAAGTTTTGTACTTTTCTGCATGCCATATTTCAAATGAAGTTCAGAAAATTAGTCAAGCCCCATCAAGCCCTCCAGAAACACTTTCTCATGCCCTGTTTGCTGGTAGTGGTGACAGTATGGTCCCTCCTTCCATATACTCATAGCCTGCAGGGGAGTGTACAGGAGCTTGGGCTGAGTAAATTCCAGTTCTTGTGATTCCTATTCTGTGTGGCAGAATCTGGACCACATTGCCACTCCGAATCTGGATGGTGCCTTATTAAATGTCCACACTAACTAGAAATTTATCTGCAGGGAAGTTAAACACCATCTGAAGGTTTGCGGTGACGGTCCACTTCACTGCAATGCTCAAGCTCATTCCACATGTAATGTCTAACAAATCCATTTAGCTGAAGTTGCCAGCAAAATAGAGACATCCTGCAGAACTGGATGTCAATAAATCTAATGAATGCCTGTGATGTCAAAGACCTCTAGTTTATGGTAATCTTGAGAGATTTGGGTTAACATGAGCCAAGGAAGGGTACCCACTTATTATCGGAGATTTCAAAGATTAAATTTCTTGTTAAGAGGGAGTCCCTGGATGGTACAAAGAGTTAATGCACTTGGCTGCTAACCAAAAGATTGGAGGTTCAAGTCCACCCACAGGTGCCTGTGAAGAAAGGCCTAGTGATCTGCTTCTAAAAAACCAGCCATTGAAAACCCGGTGGAGCACAGATCTACTCTAACACACATGGGGTTTCCGTGAGTTAGAATTGACTCAATGGCAGCTGGTTTGGTCTGATTGAGAAAATATGTGCAGTAGCCAAATTATTGTCAACAATTTTCTCATCCTTGCAACAAAGTCCTTGCTTGATTTTAAACACACACACACTCCAAACTATAATCCAAACAGGAAATCCCTGCAAGGTCAGGTTTTTATTGTTTTGATTTTTTAACAACTGGGATTAAATAGATGTTATTTCCCTGTACATAGCTGCTGGATTTCCTTTGTCTAGGGAAATAAATAAGGAAGTGGACATTTTTATCTGTCATTTGAACTTAGTAAATTCCAAAGTTTAAAAGAGGGAATCAAACTTAATGAAGATCTGCTCTTTCCTATAGAAAGACAATCTCATTCCAAATGAAAACAATCATTTATGAGAGGTCCCAGATAGAGTTACATGGGTCTGTTCTCAGCTGTGTGCCCTTTGCACATTTGATCAAGATCCCTCAAATACAAAAGTGTAAACCAGAGTTAATGAATTACTTCCACACACCCTGGCATAGGACATTCATTTACTTTTAAATAGATGTTTACTCTCTTTCTTCCTTCTTTTTTCAGCTACAAGAGTAAAACATTCTCCTTGTATGTGGTGGAGGTGACACAGCTGGGCCACCTGAGATGAGATATGATTGGCAATGGAATTATACAGCATTTCCTTGCCCCTGCCCATCCCATACTTTTCTACTGTAGTAGACATCTAGTTGCATCTCCAGTTTACTCTAGAGCTGAGAAAACTTTGCAAGTAAAGAACTCAATCATGTATGGTTGTGGGCATGTCTAACAAACTTGGGAGTGGGGACAGGGAGGATGGGGTAGGAAGACAGGACTATTGGATTCAACCTCAAGGCCTGGGGTGGTTCCAGAAGAGCAAGTTAATGTTTACTGGACTCTGTCCCAGGCCAGGCCTGGCTAGGCTTGGGTTTTGATTAAGAAAACGAGCAGGCAGGCTCTCTAACCTCTATAACTTGTTGGGGCAAAAAGATGTGCATGTCCCAGAAGCCATCTGTCTTCTTACTTCACAGCAGCTGGAAGCTGTGTCAACATGTAAGGGTTAAACAGAGAAGGCCAGGGCCACAGGCAGGAAGAGGCAGACTGAGGAGCTGCCCAGGGACAAGCAATAACAATAGCTGAAGTGAAATTTGAGAGCAATTGGAAGTACAGTCTTTGTAGCAGGGGCCAGCCCAGGTCAAGAGTGACTGCCTGTTTACACTCTCTGAGGATTTTCCAAAAACACGTTAGGGGGTATGAGAGAAACCTGAAAATTGAGTAAGGTCCTGATATATGTGGGGAAAGTTGACAAGCTAATCTGATTTCATTATTACCTAAAAGTTCATGAACCTGGATGAACTCAGGATACACAGACAACCTGAAGAATACAGAGAAGTAAAGAGAAGAAAACTAAAATCACCCATAATCCCCTCTCCTAGAGATCCAAAGGTTAACTTCCTAGTTGACTTTTGGATGATCTTCCCCCTTCTACACATGCTTGTTTACAGAGCTGACATCAGACTGTGTGTGCAATTTTTTATATCGTTGTTTTTTTTTAAGACAATATAAAAATATCATGCTCTTTAAATCTGCATGATAATCATATACAGATGAACAGATATTTTTATGACATTTACTGTAGAAAATTTAGAAAATTGAAAGGAATAATCCCTCATAATCCTACCATCTAGAGATCAAAATTGTCAATGTTTTGGCGTTTCTCCTTCTAGATATAAATAGTGATTTCTGAAGAATAGAAACCCAGAGAGGAAGTCTCAATCGCGCTTCCCATCCCATCATGCTTCTTACATTATCATATTTGGTAGCTTCTTCTGCAGACCTTGGCCAGTGCTTGAGACCAGAGGCACAGGGTGGCAGGTGGAAGGCTGTGGTTATTCCAAGAATACTTAGCAATATTTAGAATTAAGCAATACTTAGAAATATTCCAAGAATAATTCACGTGATGTGGCTTTCCCCACCACCACCCCTCTTACCTTTCCACATAAACCAAAAAAAAAAAACAAAAAACCAAACCCATTACCATCAAGTTGATTCCGACTCACAGCGACTATATGTTGTTGACCTTACACACACAGAAGTGTGTATCTCTTGCAGCAGCACATTACAGCCTGGGGCTGTTCTCTCTTGAATCTCACTTCTGGGTGTTGGAGGAGGGGGATGGGTATGTGCTATTTTCCTTGTCACACCTCTGAAAGGAGAGACAACGTTTGCACTGCATGCCTGCTCTTCTGCTCCAGAAGCCCTTTCTTCTGAGAAGTGGATTTCCACAGCGACTGCTATTGATGCCGTAGCAAACATGGCAGTTGTCTAGCCAGGGTAAACCAGTCCTTGGTAGGCTTGAAGTCATCCTCCTTTGCTGGGTCAGAGATTTTGAGATGGCAGCGCTGACCTTCTCTGCTGCCCAGACATTAGCCTCGGACTATCATTTTCTAAAAACAATGACTAATGTAAAGGATTCTTGATGGAAATCTGTGAGGAAGGGTCACCTTGTCCCTTTTCCTCTCCATCTACAGTGTCAGAGATAGTTTCCTTGTCATAAAACTTTCTCAGAGAGACAGACTTCAGAGGCTGAGTCCATATTTGTTGTTCATGCTTGCTGGTCTACAGACTTAATGTTTCTCAGCTTTCGTTAACTCATACCCCCTACAATCCTTGCTCACTCTATCTTCTGCAAGTTTTCACCAGCCAAGGGGGAGCCTGTAATCTGTTTTAGGAAAATGATACTTATGTTGAATATGCTTCTCCTGTGAATATGTTACACAGACACCCAAGGAAATTCAGATTTATTTTCTCTTGAGGAAACAGAGACTGGGCTTTATGTACTGGGAAGAGTTTGGGCTTTGGAATCAGTCTGTTCTGTGTTGAAAACTGGACTTTATCTTTTAGTAGCTTTGTATCCTTGTACAAGTCACCTAACTTCCCTGACCCTTAGTTTGTTCATCTATAAACCCATTGCCATTGAGTGGATTCAGACTCATAGCAACCCTTTAGAACAGAGTAGAACAGCCCCCATAGAGTTTCCAAGGTTGTAAATCTTTACAGAAACAGACTGCCACATCTTTCTTCGGCAGAGCAGCTGGTAGGTTCGAACTGCTGACCATCTGGTTAGCAGCTGAGTGCTCAACCACTGTGCCACCAGGGCTTCTTTGTTCATCTATAAAATGGGGGTAATTATATTACCTTATAGAGTTGTGTTATGGACTGAATTGTGTCCCCCCAAAATACGTGTTGTAAATTGTAACTCCTATACCTGTGATTATAATTCTGTTTGGGAATGGGTTTTCTTTGTTATGTTACAAGGCCATATCAGTTTAGGGTGTGTTTTAAGCCAATCACCTTTAAGATATAAAAAGAGCAGATTAGGACAGAGAAGCAAGGGTTGGTGGGGGAAGATAGATACCATGCCACATGAAGATCGCTAAGGAGCCAAGAAGCAGAAGCTGAAGAGAGACAAGAACATTCCCCTGGAGCCAACAGAGAAAGAAAGCCTTCCCCTAGACCTGATGCCCTGAATTCAGACTTCTAGCCTCCTAAACTGTGAAAGAATAAATTTCTGTTTGTTAAAACCATCAACTTGTGGTATTTTTGTTATAACAGCACTAGATAACTAAGGTTGTTATGAGGATGAAACAGGATAACACTTAGCAAAGTTCCTGGGACTTTATCCGCACTCAATATCTGTAATTCTCCTTCCTTTCTAGCACTCTCAGCTTATTCCTCTGCATGTCTATGCATACATGTATACATGTGTAAATATGCAATCAAGAAAAAATGTTCACAATTGGGGCGTTAAACTTTATTTGAAACTACTAATTTTATTGTTGAAAATTTCAAAGAAAACTTGGCTATATACAAGGACAGTTGCATGAGTAAGTCACTAAAGAATCAGTGAATCCAGTCTTAAAATCAGGTGAACTTGTAATGTGAGCAAACTGAGGGAACTCCATGTGTTTACGCTGCAAATTTAACAAAGGTTAAGACTTGGTGGCAGCAATCCAATAAACACAGCAGTTTTCTAGCTTTTCATGTAGACTTGAAACTAAAGGTGTAACTTTAGTTATATTGATTTCATTTCTTTACAAATATATAGCTTTTTCTAAATGTGATCTACAAATAAAGCTGACTTTTCTGGTCATCTAATGGTAGTCATAGTTTTCATAATTACTTGCAAATCAAACAAGAGTCTTCTTCATCCATTCTCAAAGGAAAAATTTCCAATCTATTGAGAGAACCAGATTTACTCTCCACAGAGTATGCAAACTGCAGTTCCTCAACAGATAATTAAAACACCATGGCTTTTGCACAGCTTATATTTCTCTGAGAACCTTAGCCTTGCATTTCCTAGCCGGCTGGCTGATTCGATATTGCATTATCACAATGCAGCAGAATACAGTGTGTATGACAAGGTGCAAATGAGTCAGGGGGCCAACTCGATGGTAACTGACAACACTGGTCACCTTGCATAGGTGTCCACAGACTCAGTGCTAACCCTAGCTCCTTGTGTGAGCACGGGTAAGTTATTTCTCTTGGGATCTATCCTCATTTCTCAGTACTGCTGTAATAGCAATACCACAAGTGCGTGGCTTTAAAGAACAGAAACTTATTTTCTAACAGTTCTGGAGGCTAAAAGTCCAAATCAAGGTCTAGACTTGTCGATTCCTTTCCTGTAGGTAGTCCCCGGCATTCCTTGGTCCCTTGGCTTATAGAAGATATTCACAAGGCATCTGTCTTCCCCTGAGTGTGTACATCTGTGCATAATTTGCTCTTTTTATAACTCAGAAGTGATTAAGTTTATGACACACCATACCCCAACATAGCCTCACTGACTTAACAAAGAAAACCCTATTTCCAAACAAGATTACATCCTCAG